CCATGGTAATTATGTCTAATCATGGCTTTCTACTATCATGCATTGTAATTCTATCAATCATGTTAGGGGCCTACTAAAAGGAATGACAGAATGGAATGCCCATAGACTTTGACAGGGGAAGAGAATGCCCATAGACTATAATGAAGCCAAACGGAATGCCCATAGAGTATAATGGGAAGCATAGTATCAGATATTTTGTAGGCAAATCTGAAAAATATATCAACTTATCCTTTACCACAGATCTTCCCCATGTATAGTAACATCTTTTACAATTGAAATAACTTTGGATTTTTCCTGTTTTCTATGGAATGACAGGTGAATAGCACAATGGAATGCCCATAGAGTATAATGGGAAGAAAGATGGGCCTTGGAGTCGAGAACCATATGACACATCAAATAAATCTTTAGCAGGCATACTCTCAAAGCACAGTAGCATTGATCTAAATTGAGATTAGGTGGGATTATCATTATTTTCTGTGGAATGACAAGTGTGAATGACACCAAGAATGCCCATAGACTATATTGAATGCCCATAGAGTATAATGGGAAGCATAGTATCAGATAATTTGTAGGCAAATCTGAAAAATATATCAACTTATCCTTTACCACAGATTTTCCCCGTGTATAGTAACATCATTTACAATTGAAATAACTTTGGATTTTCCCTGTTTTCTATGGAATGACAAGGGTGAATGACACCAAGAATGCCCATAGAGTATAATGGGAAGAAAGATGGGCCATGGAGTCGACACTTCAAATAAATCTAAATCTAATAAATTATAGTCTATGGGCATTCTTAGTGTCATTCACACTTGTCATTCCATAGAAAATAATAATAATCCCACCTAATCTCAATTTGGAACGTTGCTAATGTGCTTGGAGAGTATGCCTGCTAAAGATTTATTTGATGTGCCATATGGTTCTCGACTCCAAGGCCCATCTTTCTTCCCATTATACTCTATGGGCATTCTTGGTGTAATTCACCCTTGTCATTCCATAGAAAACAGGAAAAATCCAAAGTTATTTCAATTGTAAAAGATGTTACTATACACGGGGAAGATCTGTGGTAAAGGATAAGTTGATATATGTTTCAGATTTGCCTACAAAATATCTGATACTATGCTTCCCATTATACTCTATGGGCATTCCGTTTGGCTTCATTATAGCCTATGGGCATTCTCTTCCCCTGTCAAAGTCTATGGGCATTCCTTTCTGTCATTCCTTTTAGTGTCATGTTATTCACATATATATGAAGGACAGAACAGAAATGGACTGAGCTTTTCAGGGAGATATACAAATTGTATATCTCCTTTATATTTCTCCTTTTTTATTTTTTCACCTGCCTCAGTCCTCGCCTCATGCCAGTCTGCCTCTTTCCGGATGTCCTGAGTGAGGCACCCGTGCTCACAGCCTCACGTCCTCCAGTGAAGCCCGTGCCGTGTGACATGTCACGCTATGCGCGCGGGGGCCGGGGGAGGAGCTAACTTTATGATGCGATCGTGCAGATCGCATAGGACAATACGTTATGGCATTGCCGTATGCGGCCGCTGCCATAACGTATTATTCTATGCAATCCGATAGGCAATTTTCTGCGGGCAGCGGGCTCAAGGGGCAGATGCTCTGGGCCCCACAACCTTGATTGGGCCTGGGGCAGGTGCCCTCTTTGCCCTGCGTTAAAGACGGCCCTGGAAATGTGTGAAGTAAAGGAGAACTAGGAGGTGAGTGAAAATCACTAATTTTCATAGTTGGAGCCGACGTGCGACAATTAAACTGTCACACGCCGGCTCAATAGATCGGGAAGTGAGCGAACACATAACATCGCTCGCTCACTTCTCGATCGTCTCCTTGCTGAGATTGGTGGCTGTCACTCACGGCTCCCTGCAGGGATTCCCCCCTCTCCGATCCTCCGGCGCTGAGTGGAGGAGGCGGGCACAGCTGGCTCTGCCTCTAAATAGGCAGAGCCCACTGTCACTCATGCAGCTGGGTGGACCTCGACAGTAATGTCGGGATCCGTCCCGGCTGTGGCGGTCTCAGTATACCGTTGTTGTTTTAAACAGATTGTGGAATGGTTACAACCTCTTTCTGGACCCGCTCACACATGCTAGTATACTTATAGTGCCATTTGTAACTTTAAGCACCTGTGTTCTTATTGGGAACATTCCCCTTAATTATGATGTGGTCTCCTATTGTTAACGTTTCCCTTAATTATGGTGTGGTTTCCAGTGCAGGAAATGAGAGCAAATAGGGAACACACTGAAAGAAAAACATGACAGAGCTTCTAACCCTTCCACAATATATTCGAACAAATACATTTTGGATATAGTTTTGCTTAATCTAATTTATTCTGTGTTACCTAGCCACCCTACAATGCAGTAAACAAATATAGCACTCAAATGCCTTTTAAATGAATCTGCATTTACCTATCATGTGTTCTTGTACATTTTTAAAATGTTCTAATGTACCTGGGCATTGATAGAAGGAATCCATTTCAGCTATGTTTTCTTCAGGAATGAGCCATATCTTTTTCAGCTCGTAAAGGAAAGTTCTCAGCAGGCTGATATGAAAGTTAATATATAGCATAATAAATTGCGCAGGTTAAATGTGCACCAAAAAAAGAGATAATATGAGTCAGAGAGTATGAATGCGGTCACATATGTATTAAATCAACTGCAACACAATGAACTGATGACATTAAATGTTAATCTGTGATAAGCAGGCAGTTTTGTATGGTGTAGCAAACAACAAAATATGCAATGCAAACAAAATACTAAATTATAGCATATATTAACGCTTTGGTGCTTGGTAACCTAAAACATTTTTACTAAAGGGTTTTTCATTTTTAAGGTAGAGTCTTGTCAAAGGATATGTGAAAAGATAGCACGGCTGTGTGAGTGGAGCCCCGCACAGCCGCATTGAATTAAAAATGAACACAAGTCTGCGGGTAGAACTTTGTGATTCAGATATGTGGGGTGTCGGGGGTGATGATCTGACCATATATTATCTTACACTTCAAATATGGATTTAACATAATAAATGGTCCCAAAGGTAAACTTAGTTTTGACACTAGACAAAAACAACAAGACACAAATGAATATCCCATTGAAAGAGAAAATAACAAAGCCAGCTTTTGGTGTAATATTCACCTTCAATCCAGAGATCTCCCCTGCAGTACTTTTTTCTGCTGCTAGATGTTCCTAGTCTGATGGCCAGCATCATTCAACCCACTTCTCTGAGCCCAGGTCTTTCTGGACCTGCCCCAGTTAGTGGTTGGGCAGTGAAAGGAGAAGCAGCACCATGATGAGTTCATTACTCTGTCACTCTGTTTGCCCTTCCTATCAGCATTCCTCTGGTCAGCACATGAACAGATTGCCTCCTTGTGCAACTTCTTCCCGTCATACTCCAGCTCTACTGTACAGGAACTGGTAGAGGTTGATACCAAGTCAATTTCATGTACTTACACTGCTTGCATTTAAAAATACATTTAATGATGCATTGATCATTACAGGGTGGCATTAATGTAGGCAATGCATCTGCCTAGAATTTAGCATTTAAGTAAAAGTTGACATGAGCTTCAGAGCCCTCTAGATAATAATAAGGGATTCATTTATTTAATTGCCTTTGCTGCCTGCTGATTTGAAGCCACCAAGCAGATTCAAACTTTTAGTTTCCAAATGTCATTTTCTAGGGCAGATTTACATCCATTTGGAGCAGTAGTAGTTATCAGTGGTGGTGCTTTAATAAGGGAGGCTAAAAATATCTGGGTATTGCTGGAATATAGTCCTGATGCATCATTTATGTTCTGTAGTCATAATTACCCCTTTGAATTCCTACACTTGAAAGTTCCTATAGACATTCAAAGTAAACCTTTCCTTAGAGAAAAATAGTGGCTGCCATTGATGACCTGCTTCTGAAAATGCTAGTTGGCCTGGCTGCCTCTGGCTTCAGAACCTTCTGAGTCACTAATCTGTAATATATAAATTTGTGTTTTCTAAGCACCCCTCAGCCCATAACATAGTTTTCTTACTAGTTGATCTTACTAGTAGATCTGTTCTTTTCCCTCTTTCTCTGATAGGGTGACAACACTATTTGTTCTGCAGTGAAATTCCACAGCAGTGGTGTTTCCCAGTTGACTGAGCAGTTTTAGTGCTCATTCACATGGGAGTGCACATCTGTACAGCATGCATGTCTATGCAGAGACCTGCTCCTGGAAGGGAGCTACACACCATGCAGGTCCAGATGGACGCACACTGTCTGCGTGTAGCTGCGTACAGCCATGGGAAGGAGCCCTTAGGTGTGGACATGTAGAACTGCAACAGATTTGTTTCTTTTAAAAAATGGTTTAAGCCATATAAATAAAATCTAAGCATTGTTAGCAGCTGTGTCAGTGTTAAATGGTTTGTCCCAACACCTATGACACTTTTTTGGAAAGCTTGGCCTGTTAAAAGAAGTGGAAAGATAACAGGTAGATAACTTGGCCTGTTAAAAGAAGTGGAAAGACAACTGGTAAAGCAACAGGGGTGTGCAGAAAAACAAAAACGGCTGTGTTTATTCTATTAAAAGACTGTATCATATATGTTTTTTTTATTTTGCCCATATTTTTACTTTAATAGTTTTATTCTGGCAGGAAATCCATAAATGTCATTTTTATGTGTTAAAAATAAATATACACATGTGTAAAAAGGATACAATAGGCATGCTGTCATACAAAATTTTGGGAAAAGATTCACTGATCACGTGTTTATCACGATCCCACCTTGCTCCTTCCATGTAGAGGCCATTGATATATGTGCCTTCAGACTGTAATAAGAACAGAAACTTGTCAATATGGCAAAATACTACACTAAAACTAAACTAAAACCAAACAGCATAATTAAGCTTTTTAAAATGACAAAAGTGTTACCGGTGATGAGTCAATAATATTCACATTGTCATGATCAGTTATTTGAAACTGGAGGCCTAGCAAGTCTATAGGAATCTTGTATTTTCTGGCATAGTTTTGCAGTGCTCCAGTCAGAAAAGACTGCGTAAAGTAAAAGCCAGAGATCCAGAAAACTTTTGGTGTTCCCCTTTCAATCCACTCCTAAAAGACAAAATAAACAGAATCTCACAATTTGACAATAATAAGCTTTAAAGGCTAAAGTTCTCCAAAACCAATCTCAAGAAGCATGGCTTTGCCTTGCAAGTTTCCATTCATCTTTATAGAGACCTTCAGATTTCAGATGACCTTACTACCTAGCTTGACCTGCAAAGTATCCAATTAAGACAGTCAAGATTGTGTCAGATTGGAATCTTGAACTTAGAAAGGGTAATCCCCTGCTAAGGAAATAGCCACTTGTAAGAACCTTTGGAGAGTGCCTGGAGTCTACCCAAATCAAAGAGATTTCTGATGGAGTAAGACTCATCCAAAGGTTTTCATCACATTTTGTGACGGTTCATAAGATTAATAAATATTTTATATAATTTCTATAAAGTTCTTATTTTACAAATACACAATGAATACAGTGTGCTATCATGGTTCATTGTGTGTAGTGGGCTATAATATTAAGAAACTCTAACACTATACATATAGACTGAGGATATGGACTGCTTCATTTTTACTGTAATAGAAGAGGGAGGATGTGTTCCTTCATTGAGTCATTCAGCTCACTCATTCAAATGTGTGTGTAACCTAAAATCCTCAGAACCAATTTTCAAGGGACTTTTCAGGTGCTACAGTGATAGGCTGTACACGTTTATACATACATAAAAATCTAAAAACAATACCCACATACAGCTTGGGGAATTAATGAGTGTTTGTCAAGGCTCAGGATGTTTGAGTTACATGATTTTAAATTAGTTGCTACCGCATTGTACTACCCTTGAAAGTTCCATCCGTTAACTGCATGTATATTACACCTATAATTATAAGGAAATATTGTAAATGTACTCTCACACTGCAAAGAGTGGTAAACATCAGGAGATGAAGCTGACATTAAATTGAATAGAATGAATAAAAGGGATTTTTTTTATGAAATATGATAAACATGTGTAATCTACCAATGTACCACCTGAAAAGCTGCTTTCAAATTTGCCCAGTTCTGTTGGTCATTTACTATTAGTGATGTGGTAAATTGACCAAGTGGGCTGGTGTGTGCTCAGATTTAAAATAAACTAAGATACTGTTGTGTTTTTGTGGCAGAACTTTATTGAAATGTCACAAGTGACATTTTATTCATTTCTATGGGCACAGTGGTGTGCATGGGCCGTCATATTGACTGCTACCTGACTTAAAGAAATTAGTATGTATATACCAACTATATAATGATAATTAAGCATATGATAATAATAATAATAATAATCATATAATAAAATAATCATATAATCATAGATATACACTGATAATCATTGATACACTTAAGGAGTCATATCAAAATTACTAAAAAAAATAGATTCATAATAATGTAACAATAACTAAAAATGCATACTTGCTGCAAATACACTATAGTTTCCATCTAACCTAACACATTGCAAGTTATGTGTAATGCAAGTCTTCCAGCTTTTGTAACTTGTATGATTCTTGATGATATTGAGGTTGGACACAACAAGAAAATAAAATTAAAAATAATTGTAAGTATACTGAGCACATTCTGTGCCAGAACAGCAATGGTTAACAGTGAATTTCCAGGCAGCATCTGGCTCCACATAGCTCCTGGAAGGTAGGCATAGTACAGTTTGAAGAAGGATTTAGATGACTCACACCACAGTAAACTTGTAATTTACTTCTGCTCCTGAGAAGATTGTAGCTTTCTGTCACCCACCATCCCTTGGCAGCGTTCATTAGAAGGGTTTGATGTGTAAACACTGTATTAAATTATTGCCCAGACAACTCAGATATCCTAAACCAAATAATGTCTCACTACAGTAAAGCTAACAGCAAACATTTCCCATTGCAGGAATAGGATGAGGCATACGTCTTCCAAAATGAGGGTGTTTTCAGCTGTTGCTACAGAGATTCTTAATTCACATGGAAGGGTTTATACGCTAGAGATCACAAAGCTGCTTTACTTTTCATAAAATTTAGATCTTTTCTAAGAGTTTCTATCACCAAGTTTTCTGTTTATGCACATGTAAGCACTTCTGCAGCAAAGACACTTTACTTTCGTTTCAAATTGATTTTCACGGTACAGATGACATTCTTGGCAGTTCCTGCTAAGAGCTAACCTTGAAAAATCTCAGTCTTTGTAACAGATCTGCTATGTAGCCACCTAAAGGCTTCAAGGAAGGATATGATCTAGCTGACCACACAGTAGGAACCTACAAGCAAAAGAATAAAAAAATATTAGACATTTTGGAATGGCCCAAAAAAAAAGCACACACACATTTCATGCCACTGCGAACCTATGAAAAAGAGAAAGACTATTTTTAAATGAGATCAAAGGCAAAACATCTTGTGAGGGCTTTAGTCTGGGTCTCAAAGAATCTCCAAATGTAACTTGCACTTTCTAAAGAATATAGTAATTAAGGTACACTTGATTTTGTTACGTTTTACGAAACATCTAGAAATATTACCGTATATACTCGAGTATAAGCCGTCCCGAATATAAGCCGAGGTACCTAATTTTAGCCAAAAAAACTGGGAAAAAGTATTAGCCTAAGCAGCACACCAAAAAATTTACCTTTTGTCTTGCCTCCTAAAAATAGTAGTTTACTTCATGTTCTGTAGCCTCATAACTGTATATCTGCAGTGTGAGATCATCTAAGGCACTGTTCATCTGTCTGTTAGTCTTGTTAGGTTTTATGTGATATTTGGTGATATCACTCCTGCACTGCCCACTGTTCTCCTTGCTTGATATTACCTCCAAACTCAAAGAGTGCCCTCCTCTCTTTGCAGTGACCTTAAAGTGAATATCTTCACACCAAGTTCACTATGTGGACCATTTATGTATTTATACATGATGATCATACCCCCCTTAATTGCCTCTTCGCAAAAGAGAACTAATTCAGTTTAGCCCATCTTTACTCATAGCTGAGCTCCTCAATGACTCTTATCAATTTAGTTTCCCTTCTCTGCACTCTCTCCAGTTCAACACCCATTTTGTGAACCAGTGCCCAAAAGGGAACTACATATTCCAGATGAGGTCTTATTCCTATTTTTTGTTAATTTCTCTCACATAATTAGTTGTTCAAATTAATCAAAGGGTTTGCCTAACTAAGGAAAAAACATACTCTTTGAGTATATCAATGGGTATGAAAGTACCGGTAATAGACTCTGTGGTTTCCAGAGAGAAAATTATATTGAGGATTGTATGCAAGCCTACAATGCATAAAGGCATTCTACATATTTGTAATGTTAAAGCATTTTTACAGTTTTTAAATGTTTACAGTTAATACATTTAATTACAGAACACATTCAAAACAATTGTTTTCTATGCATGAATTTTAACACTGCAGTTCTCCAAATTGATGATTTGGTTACTTAAAGTCAGGGAAGGGAAGCCTTTTACTGTCCTGGATGTGTTTTTGCACCAAAAAACAGCCCCTTGTTATATAGGAATATGGCATTTAATATCGAGGAGTCGAGGAACCCTAGCCCTTCATACAAATGGACAAACAAGTAAAGTTACAAAAAGTATTTCCTTCTTGGCTTACATTTCCAAGTAACTTTAGCCTAAGCAGTCAAATCTGGTAAAATATGGCTATGTTTGACAAAATGTATTTGAAGACGAAATCTTCTTGTTTCAGCAAAATAACTCCACCCATCGCTAAAAAAGTTGTGGTGAAATGTTTTAATTGGTTATCAAATGCAATTACTGGAGTTGATTTCTCAGAATTTGAAACTCCTTTGTACTATATTGACCTAATTTACTGGAGAAATCATGTTAATTTTCAATATGAGTTTTCACTTTGCAAAGTAAATTTACACTTATCTCAGGAAATCAAGTGAAAAAAAATAAAAAATAAATGAGTACAATACTTTTCTGATACAATAACAAAAATGATTCCATGCAAGGAGCGCCATGTGGAATTTGCCAACACTTTGGGGTCTTGTCCTACAAGCATCATGTGTAGGGACCATTCCCCTTGCACTACCTTCCAGAGTGGGGCTCCTGCTCATCCTAGCAAACTTCTGGTAATTTAGGGAATGGAACAATAGGCAAACACACATAATAATGTTGTGGTGCAAAGCCTTATGTGTGCACCACATTATCATGACAAAAACACCATTGTTTAGGCTTTACTAAAATTGAAATAAGAGTACCTAGTTGATGGTGATGCATTTCATACATCATGATATGCACCTTGTCGTTAAAGCATGCTTGCCTATTGGCCTAGTCTCTCAGTGATCTCTGATAATCAAAGATGGGCAGAAAACCTACACTTATAGAGTACTAGAAGAAAGGACTAAGCATCCCTTTACTAGTTTGCTTCTTTCAATGATCCACCACAGGAATTCATCCTGTGAAGTGTCTGAAAGTTTTTACTTCAAGAGATTATCAGCTCCAAGACAATTTACTGACAAACATATATCTGCATTTCTGGGTCAGGTGACACCTCTCAACTGCCTTGTGAACATCGTGGGAAAAAATGGGATCCTGACAGAGCTTCAAACACACATGGGCTGGCATGTCAGTGGTCATCCCAACAGAAAAATGTAGTGGAACTCTTGTTAGGATCCACAGAGTGGCATGCCATAGGTTCATATAGCTCCACCTCAAGTGAATAAGCCCAATCTAAAACTTAATCTGCATTTAGCATCTCTATTATTTGGACAAATAAACTAAAACCTTTGTGCTTAGTTACCACTCATTCTTTATTAGTACAAATTAAAGGAGCACTATAATGAAAAATATTGTATTCTGGTAACTGTATGTTGAGTGCCAGTGCTAGGCAATGCCACGACGGTGTAGTTTGGAAACTATGGCACCTAGGACTCTCAGCCAGAGGGGCTGAGAGGGTCCAGGGTGTAAACCATTTTATAAGGAAGAACCTGGCTTTTCAGATTCTTCCAGGTTTTCAGAATTGTAGCTGGGATCTGGAGATTTCTTAGAGCTCTGGGTGGGATGAAATCTCCAGTCCTGGGGCTAGGTGTTGCCAATGACCAGCCCGGACTTATCAGGTGGCTGAGAGCAGCCTCATTAGGAATCTGGACCAGAGCTCGAGGGAGGAGTTGGGTGTGTGTGTGTGCAGGAGGCACACAGCCACAAGCAGACTCGGGTGCATGCTGGACGCAGGGGAGGCTGGGAGAGGTCATGAAGGTCAGTGACCCAAGGAACCTGTTGGGCACACTGCTGAGAGAGCAGTGTGAGTGCTCATGAGAGGTGAGCAGTGTGAGTATCACAAACAGGTGTGCTGAGACACGTGGAGCTGAGGAAAGCTACTGAGGACTGCATATGCTTAGGAAAAGGGGATTATTATAAGAAGTGCATGAACTGTTCTGTTTCATTTATGTTGAAGATGAATAAAGACTGTCCTTTGTATGCTCAAGTCAGCTTCAGGAGTGGTCACTTAGCACTCACCAATGGGCTACATTCCCCAAACTACCACAGTGGTTAATACCTGTAATTACAGTATTCAGTATATAAATTGCTTTTTTATTTCACATGTTTATACTATATTTTTCTCTGCATTTCTCCGGGGGTTGGAACAAATCATTTAAAGCTGCTGAAGGTTCTTAAAACTGTCAGCTTTTCTTCATTGGTATGAGCTCCCCCCCCCCAAAAACAAAAACATGTCCATCTAAGACTATTTATGCAATAGAACAGGGTAACAATTCTGCTGTGAGATTTCACTGCAGAACAAACAGCGTTATCATCCTGTGAAAGGAAATGGAAAAATAACTGGTTTACTGGCAGGATCAACAGGTAATAAAATTGTAATTCAGAAAAACAGAAAAATTATCTGCTAGTGACAGACTGCAACATATATGTTATTTTGCATTTGCCCATAGTTCCACATTAAGTTTTAAGAATTATAGAAAGAATACAAACTAGGAAGTAGCCCTTCAGACTAAATTTATTTATATTGTTTCTTAGAAACAAATTGATAAAATTAACCATGTGGTTTCCATTTAATTAAAGGTTAGATTTTTCATGACATTGTATTATAGACTATTTTTTATTTCTTTATGGGTAATAGATCCCACTGTATATTTCTGTGGGTGTAATGGAGAAGATACAAATCTGGAGGGCCTTTGATACAGAAAGAGGTAACAATATGTGTTTAAAACATAATTACCAAGTAGACATGGCTGTCTCAGGGGAATGTGAAATGAGGAAGCCGAAGTGTGAAAAAGATTCTTTGCAATGTGGAGACAGAAAGATGAGTAATGAGAATCCTAATGCACTATGACAGCACTTGCATATTAATCCCTATGGGTGAGCCATATTTTAAGATACCCTTACTATAGCACACAAATGACTTACTTTACCAACAGTCATGCTATTGAGCAAATCATCAAGTTCATTTGACATCGCAGATAGACCAGAAATGGCTTTGTTTAAATCTTGCAGGCTCATGCGAATGGTAGAGGTCAATCGGTTAAATCTCAATAACTCGTGAACCAGCACTGTATTCATAGATTCTGTGTACTGAGTAGGATAAAGTCTCTGGAAGAAAGAAAAAGCCAATTGTACTTTAGAAAGGTGCAGAAAAGGTCTTACAGATGCTCAAAACTTTTCATTTACAAAACTGCATACAGAAATTTGTAATACTGCTTTGTTTCTTGGATTAGTGATACATGAATACCATGACTTCAATAATACATCAATTACAACTTTTCCTTCTTGTATTTTTTTTATTTAAAAGTGTAACTATAGGAAAAATAAAAAGTGACTTATATGATGCAGTCTGTCAATAGCAATAGCACAGCAGTTTTTTTTGTTTTTCTAAATCCCACCATTAACATGGTTTTGTTACCTATTGATCCTGCCATTATATTTCCTCTTCCGGTAACAGACCAACCTATCCAGTCAAAGTGACAATTACAATTACAGTGTCAGTTTCAGCTGCTAAATGGTCAGAGTAGCTGTCAATCAACCATCCGGGGGCACTGGCTGCAATAGATTAGTTGAGACCACAGGGTGACCACTGTCCTGAAGCAGTGGGAGCTGTTGGCCACTCTATTAAGGAAGGCCTCAGAGAGAGCAGAAACTAGCAGGATCAATAGGTATTTATAAAACATTTACTCACACAAATTTAAATACCTTGCATTACTACATTTACAAGGCAAAAATGAGCAATTTACACAAGCTGCTGTGGCCTTACTGGCCTTACACTTGCTGTGTATTTTCATTGTGTAGGCATTGTAATATTTACCAAGAATATATTTCTATGTGATTCCCATGTTCTTGAATTTATTTCATATAGATGCTGGCATCTTGAGCAGACATTTCAGCCAATATGTTTAAGACAAATTGCTATGGTAAAAATTGCTTTCTGTCCCAGTGATAGTTGTCAGACCAAAGAGGAAATTAGTGGAAATTTTACATCATCAATAAAAAAACCAGAGTGACTAATAGAGGACCCTTACTATTCCTTATGCCATACCTGTGAATGGAAGGTGTTGTTAGCTGTTTATTGAGTCATGTTACAGTACTCTAGCCATCCTTAGATAGCAGCTGTGAAAACTCTGTGTTAATAGCAATCTCTGTCTATGTTCAGATACAAAGACTTTAGTCATCTTTTCCTGATTGGCTGGATTATTTTTCACTAAAAGTAAAAAGAAATCCAGCCAATGAACAGATATAGTATGATGGTAGAGCATAAGGGTTAGCAAGGGCCCCAAGTATATTGGGGAAGGGTATAATCAGTTTGATAACGACTTGATGTGTTATCTGTTACTTCCTTTAACAGGGTGACAATGTCTTGTGACAATGTCTTAGATGGACCTGTACATTAAAAATGCAATTTAAGTAAGTGACAGACAAATTAATGCCTGATTCTAGCTAACAATTTTTAATCAGGTGCAGCAACAGTTTTTTTGCCATTGGAAATTAATAGAAGTTGACCGTTGTAAGCACCCTTAGCAGCGTTATTTGGTTTGTTACATTGGTAACTGTCACTTGGCCTGTTAAAGGAAGTGGAAAAATAACAAGTCTACTGTTGGTATTAACAAGTAATAAAACTATATTATGGGGGAATTCGGGGAAAAATATTATGTTAATGCTATTGACAGATTGCATGTAATTCTTTATTTTTTTTAATGGTTTACATTTAGTGTCTGCCCCTGTGAAATGCTATATCAAATTTAAATGATGAGACCTGAATGTATGATCAATAATTTTTGAGTTTACAGTATCACACTTTTTTTTATAGCAGCTGATGAATATTCTCCAGTGGTTAGGTATTTCTTTGGTGATAAAAATTCTACCATGTAGAACAGTGCACTAGCGAGTAGAGCGTGGAACGTCTATTTCTATTTAACAGAATCCATTATTTTGGCCTTGTCCCAATGTAGCCTTGTTGTGTCCTGTGCACCACCCTTTCTCTTTCAATAATGCCCAAAAGTGTCCTAGCTGAACGGAGACCATAGCAGTGCCCTTGTGCATGACATTAGTTAGATTTTAGACAACACACACAGAAACCTTTAAATATATCATATTAATGACTGAAAATCTGACAAGGCTCTGAAAATAATATTTCTCTATAACAATGTTTCATACACATTCCAAGAAACACATAATGGGTACCTTGACTTCCTCTATATTAAAATCCTCTGGTATTTTTGACAGAATGTCATCTATAAGTTCGTGGACGACTTCAGATGTTGATTTTCCACCTCCACTTGTCTAGACAGTAGACAGATGACATTGCAAAGTTATATAAAGATACCACTTTGTAACAGAGTGGTTAGGAATCACATTTTTTCAGTGCCTCGGTTCCAGAGATTTGACTTAGTGCAGTTCAAAATAAAGTAAGTTTCGACTCTATTTTTAATAAAAGCAGCGGAACCCCCACTATCTGAAAGCTACATTCCTCCTAGCGTAGTGAAACATTTTTAACAGGAGCAAAACTCTATCATGAAAGCAAAGGGACAAGTCCATTTAGCTGCCTTTAAATTGCTATTTTTTTAGGAGAATAGAGTGAATCTGGAAGGATGGGGGAGCATATGCAGCTACAATGAAATGTATTCTTTGTTATAACGCAAAATAATGCTCTAGGAGCATCAACATATCATGTCATCAATTACACATTCGATTTGGAGAGAACACAGATAGAGACAAATGTTATTGATTTTAGCAAGTTTTTAAAAGGTAACATAAAATAATACGTACATACATTACGATGAATTTGTGATTCAATCAAAGACTATTACATATTTTATTAGCTACCAGACATTTTGTTGCTTTAATATGTATGAGTCTTAAAATGTAAAAGTCTTACATTAAAACAGCTCCTAGTGTTTTTTGTACTTGGAAAAAGGTGCATGCCTATTTTTGCCACCCATTGCTTTCCCCTGAGATAAGACACATTTGCATAGAATGATCTATGCTTTTATGCCCCTTAACTTTCACTAAATATGGCACAGAAAGAGGCACACAATTGATATGGTGGTAGTAACCATATACAACGTGGTTAGCTTCCAGAGATGGCAGGTAAGCTGAATATGCTGGCCACTGTAGAGTAGGAACCATATTAATATCATTAGATGAAATATAATTAACAGTTCTTCTACACCTTTGCAACAACAGATTACAGGTCTCCAAATTATAGGTCAATATTCTCTAGAGGTCCACTTCAGAAAATCGTCTAGAGGTTTTTAAATCTTCTGTATAATGACCACCAAATATTGGGATCTACTTTACAAACATGAAAATACTGGAAACATAGAACTGTTTAATTATTCAGAAGCTAGACACCCTCCAAAGCTATCAAAGACAAGCCTGGAATTAACAGGGCAATGAGGTATCCACCTTCTGCTTCAATTCCAGCAACCAGTTCCTAGTCAACACAATGTCCTATTCACTGAATACTCTTCTAGAGATATAAACACATGGCCACTTATGGTTTTTTTAAAAATTGTCTGATCCTTGGACTACTGTTTAAGGTCCTTAGCTGTTTATGGTTAGATTTAAAACAACATTGGGCTGCTTTAGAAATGCCCCCTGGATGCCCTGCTTCTAAATATTACAGATATTAGCTATTATGCAAAAACAAATTTGGGACTGTGTGTATGAACACACTATAAATCAATAAATGACAATTACATGGAAAGCATCAGATATTACAAATTGCTAAAATAATGACACTAGGAAACAATGGTCTAGAGTCTTGATAACAATTAATAATGTCATAATTGGTAAATGCTACTGTTCAGTTCTACATTTAAGGGCAATAGGTCTGTTTTACGTTGCAAAATTCACATGGTCACAATGTAATCTTAGTGAATAAGGTGAAGCTGTGCTGACTTCAGTCATGTTCAAGCAAAAATACTGTTTTAAAAAAAATTTCCTTGCACATGACTGGGTATATTTTGCACAATTAATTTTACCTTAGCTTTAACTTATTCACAAAACTTGGTGAAGATTCACTTTGCAAAGTGAACATACACTACACCTTTAGTAAATCAACCCCTGTTTATCATACTAACATATAATAGTGGCTTAGAAACATGGGTACCAGGGGAAGAAGCCACTACAAAGCCAAACCTAGATCTCTAATCTAATTTCAAGAAAGTTTGTCTACTTTTGTGTATGTGTGTGTATATGTAAAATGTTTGCTAATAATAATAATAATAATGATCTGGTGCCTCAAGTTTTACACTTTTTTTTTTTATCAGAGCCCAAAGGAAGAAGGTACAACACTGATGTAAGGAATCAAATATGAATTGCATTGTAAAATCCAGTTTTCTTTATAATTGTTCATATCTTAATGCAAAACCTGGAATAATAAAATACAACCTTACCTGTTTAGGTAAAGTTGTTAGAATCCAATCAAACAGTTTAGCTGTTTCCTTCTGATCCCTGGTAATATTTGCATTTATGTGCAGCCCAAACACCTGCAATATAATCATTTTTGGATATTTCAAAATAGTAGTAAGGTACATTTCTTACATTAATATTGGTATTATTCTGATTTTCAGTGATTTATAACCTGGCAATACAGAGAGAGAGAGAGATTTCCATATGATATAGTTATCCTAGTCATAGCTTATTGGAAACAAAAATTGTAGTATATATAGTATTTCCCCCCAAACTTTTAATAACAGAAATTATTCTTGTAACACAATTCCTTTAGTAGAACTCTGGGATGACTGAAAGAAGCTTGCAACTTTAAAATACATAGAGACAAGGTTATAGTTTTTAAAATTATGAATAGATTGATGTTATGTGACGATGTCAAATACATAAAATTACCTATTTATGTGAAGTATTTCTTTATGAGCAATTGCCCACTGACTCTTTGGGGGGAATTTATCAAAACGGGAGCAGACAAATTCTGGAGCAGATTTGCACTGCAACCAATCAGCTTCTCTGTCTCATTTTCAAATCTTGCCTGAGCAAATTGAAGAGAGATGCTGTTTGGTTGCCATGGGCAACTACTCTACATTCTGTCTGCTCCAGTTTTGATAAATTCCCCTCTTTGTCTAAGTTACATGATAAATTAGCTTCTCAAAAAATAATAAAGAAAAACACTTCAGCTATTATAGACTAAAATAACTTTTACATGTTTAACTGGAAATGTGATTAAAATAAACTTGCATGCATGGTGAAATTATTAAGCAGAAGTTACATTCAGTGACAAATTGACAACTGACAAGAGAACACATTTAGGATTTTTGTATAATTTTAGCTGCTTATATTTCTGGATCTAACGATCAATATACAGTGTTCACTTAGGGTATACTCTGGTGATATATTTTTTATTATATGCTTAGTTTGAAATGCCTATTTTTACTTTCATAAACCGTTTTTTGCTATTTAATTTTTGTCTTAGCTTTATTGGGTCTTGAATGTTGTCCTCATCTATGACTGCAGGATCATAAATGTTATGTCATAAATCAATATATATGTGCTTTCATTGCATACCCGTAAGGAGTGGACCCTAATATCATTAAAAGTTCTATTGCAGTGCAGACAAATTCCGCAATTAAAAACTGTGTGATGCAAACATTTGCTGCATGCACATATATTTATACTGCAGTGTGGCTGCTTGCATCAGATTAATTAGAAAAGTGAAGTAACCTTTTGACAACTCAATTCAATATTAATCTTAATTACTGAAAATAAGAGCATCACTTTTACAGCATTATTTCGTTTAATAAGCTGTAATTTTCCTTGGCATCTATTAAGGCTAGTTGTGAGAGTGCATACCTCTGGATCGGCGTTGAGAGGAAGACTTTTTATATATTCCATATAGGCGTCATGGGTACCATTCTTTGGAGCAAAGTATTTTCCACTGGGAGAAAATGCGTAATCGTCTTCGGTAATTACAGCTTCACAAAGAAATGTGTCTAGCAAGCTTAGCAGAAGCCGCCTGTCGTGCTCATCTGTGACTCTTCCTCCATAGTTGCATTCCCCAGTAAGATAAATGACAGCATCTAGCAGGGTCTGTTCATAATCATTGATGAACCTCTACAACACATAGAAAATAGATTAGCTTTAATTAAGGCGGTAATTTTAGTGTTCCAACGCTAGCGCCAAAATGTACTGTTTTAATTAACATCTTCATGGCCATTTCCAAAGCTTAGTATAAATGTTTATCATTTCTGTGCATTAAAGATGTGACTGGGGTTATGCATCATAAATGTGCATCACAATACAACAATAAATTAGTTGGCTTAAGGCATTTGCTTCTGCCCCCTGCCATATAGAAACATAAAATGTCCTGACTCCCTAAGACCCATCACCCACAGCAGTAGTATTCTAGTACTATAACTTGTTGTATGATAGCTATTCTCCCAGTCTGAAAAAAAAGGATATCACCCTACTTCTTGCCAAACTGGCATTTTTGTGGAAATCAATATATAAGTGTACTGTTGGGGTACTTGATGTGCTGTTACTATGGGCAACCTTTGGAGATGTTATGTCAATAACATCTATTTCCTACTCAATAGTGTGTTAACTACAATTCTACACTGTTTGCTGGTATTCGGTGGATAACAATGTTGTATGAAGTTTTTCTTTTTTCTGCCTAGCCAATATTCTGTGGAATACAAATATAAGTGAAGTATGTAGAGAGTAAAACATCCTCTATGACTAAGTCCTTGATTGGGTGAAACACGTCAGCAGGCTGCACCTAAGACAGGACTGAGCAGAGTTGTGTAAACTGCAATAAAATGTTCTCCAGCGTGATCTCAGTACTTGGGGAAAGTATAATACACAATACAGTTTAATTGTCCCACACTGGCTCTAAGTCATGTGACCAAGAATCACTGCTCTGCCAGTGGAGAGCAGTGATTCTTGGCCTCTTCTCCCCCACAGGTACTCCCCCTTCCCTCTCTGCTCCCCCAGAACTGGCTGGTGCTACAGGTAAATGTACTTCTGTGACCCAAAACATAGTTTGCCTTTATTTCTCTTTTAATACTTATGCACAGTTTGTGCATTTGATTTAAACCTGCTCCTAGGAAATTACTATTGTGTTATATTTCCAATACTATGTAATGGTTCAAGACATAAAAACTGGTGGATGGGGGTTTTGTTTGTGGATATGCATTTTTGTGCACACTCTTTTTTGATCTCTCTTTATGTAACGTCATAGGTCCGTACTAACATTTTTCACATATTTAGATTCTGTAAGCAGGCCCGGATTTCCCACAAGGCCACCGAGGCCCGGCCTCGGGGCGGCAACGGTGACCCTGTGGGGAAGTTGCGGGCGCCGTTGTAAGGTGTCCCGGCGGCGGACCGCAGTGTGCGGCCGCTGTCCAATCACGATGGGGCGGGCCGAGGCTCTGCCCACCGGCTCCGTAGTGTGTGGCCACCGGCCAATCACGTCGTGGCGGGCCGCAACTCCTCCCAAGCATCTTATTGCTGCATTGTCTGTTTGGAATTTAATCACCTGGCCCTCTTCTGTATGCAATAATACACTGAGAGTCAGTGGACATATACTGTACATTTATGTCCACATATATGTGGACATATATTAAAGACAGAGCAGTCCTGCAAAAAGGGAAGTTGGAGGCTTGAGACAAACCTTTTAACAGTGACAGGGGTGCTTACAATGGCCGCCTTTTATTTATTTGTGCAAAGCCTTTATTACCAAAGGGAAACAAAAATTGTTGCTGTACCTGCTTAAAAAATATTACCTTGAGACTTCATTTTTAATCAAGTCCATTTAGATCTTCTAGTTCTTCTAACACTACCCCTACACAGGGTAACCATGCTGCTGTCTAAGGGCAACTCCATTACTCTTCCATAGAGTGGAGCTACCCCAGGACAGCAAGTGTTTTACTGGTCAGATAACCAGGTGAAAAAAACTAATGTAGTCATCACATTTAAGGACTGGTAAGGTCCAATATAATAAAACTTTGCTTATGGTTTTAAGGCCAACAACAGGAATTCACTTTGACCATTCTACAGATATTTGTTTCATAGGGATATATTTATAAAGTGGCAAATTATAGATGTGCCTTTCATTTACTGCGTTTGAAAAACTATAGTGTTAGTAAACCCTAATTATGAACTTCTCTTATTTGCTCCCTTTTGGTCTGTAAAATATATCTTTGAAAGTGTTTTGCTATATCTGTTCCATAAGTGCAAAAAAGAAAGTATCTGTTGATCCTTGCGAGTTCCTAACTTCCTAAAGTGAGATGACAATGCTGTACTGAAGTCTCAAACAGTGTTTTTAGTGCTGCATGAGGACTACAGAAACCTCTCCCTTGTGTAATGGAGATGAGGAGTGGAGGAAGTATTGTAGACCTAATACACTTCCTGTCCCAGGGTGAAAACGCTGCTTCTCCTTGGAAACAGTGCAGTGAGTCAGGGTTATCACCCTAGTACAGGTAGTGTGTTACTGATAGGATCACCAGGTAAAAAAATTAAGCAAAGAAAGACTGAAAGAGAAAACCAATACAGTTACCACAGCATCGGTAAGGTGTAATATATTGCGTTATTGTTCTTCGAGTTTAGAGATGTTTGAAGCATGTTTATAAAGTATCTGCTTACTCATGTTCACCGATGCATTTACTCATTTGGGTCACATTCATCTTCATTAACCCAACATCTGTATTACCGATTCTTCAATGGGGAATCAAGGTCTCAGCAACATTTGCTGTGTTTATAATACGACCAGTATTAGATTCATGACATTTTAAAATGTCAATCAATTAATTGTATCTGTGATTCACGATTGGTTCCTATGTAGTCACACTGCATATGTTCCCACTTGCTTGCTGTCACACACACACACACACACACACACACACACACACACAAACACACGTATGTCACACTTTATGAAATGCTCTAGAAATGAAGATATATACCACAAACCCTTATTGGCATATACTGCCAGTGACACTGCGTATGTTGTCACTCGCTCGCTGTCTCACACACACACACACACACACACACACACACACACAAACACACGTATGTCACACTTTATGAAATGCTCTAGAAATGAAGATATATACCACAAACCCTTATTGGCATATACTGCCATGTGGCGGTGCATGGCTGCTAAAAAAGGTAAGTAGACATATGAATTTTCCTTCATTCACCCTCTCATATAATAAGAAAATGGCCCTCAGAAACTCTGATTTGAATTTTTCTATACCTTTACTATAGAAAGCTTATATGCAAACGAGATTTCAGTTTTAAATTTTATATACCTAAACTTGAGTTGCAAACCAACAAGTGATTTAGCATCTCAAATAAAGGTTACCGATTGCATTATCACTGATGTGTGGCTGAATGAGAGCTGCTTTGTCAGCACTGTTATTATTCCGTAATAGTGATATATACAAAAAGAAAAAAAACAGCTTTACCTTTACAGAGATCAGTTAGTAGCTTGCAGTGAGCTGCAAGCATTATATGTGTAGAAAGGACATTTCTAGCAGAGTGTGGGTAATTATAGTGGAATACACAGTAAACCTTTACATGTGGACTTAAGCCCTGGATAACTAATGACATTTTTAAATGTGCATTGAGTTATGGTGCTAATTATAATTTCCCATATGTTCATTTATTATAAGTGTCGCACATAAATCTCAAAGCTACACAGTGAATTAAACGGTTTTTACTTTTTGTATGCAACCTATCAGCAAATAAAAAAGCAGCTAAACCCACTGCCACTAGGTGGCAATGTTTAACAATAGATTTGTACTAATATTTATGGCAGGAATTGAAATAAATGGGACTGACATAGACGGAAGGACAGATCAATCTAACTGTATTTAAAATTAATAATTGTATGCATTTGGCCATACCTAATCACGTTATATACATACCACAAGACTTATAAATGTAACAATATATAGATATGTTTAATAACAATTACATATCTATTCATAGCTATGTATATATATATTTTATGACACTTAAATCTTTGTTGTTTGTAGCTCCTTTGTGTTTCATGTTATCAATGTATTTCAAAACCATGTGAAAAGTTTCACTAGTACACCTAAGTAACTAGTACATACTGTATACACAAAGGCATATTCTTTCTATCTGTGGTACAGTTCCACTTTGTTCATTCCAGCTTTGCTTACACTATATAAAAGTCCACATAAAGGCTTTGTCACCTATATATAGATCTACTTTACAGTAGTTTACAAAGTCGGTGCTCTGTTGGATTTTGCCTTTAGTCAGTGCCCATTTGTTTATATTCGGTATTCCAGGAAACACGATCTTGCTGTGGGGATTTTATTGCTCTTTGCATCTTATTTATTGTGCCTGTTATGCTCTCATTTACTTCCATCAACCTCTGTTCTAAAAACAGATTGAAAAAAATGATAAAGGAAAGCCAAAATAAACCGCAGAGCGGTCTAACAGCCAACCCCAAACCATAAGAGATGAAGACAAAACTGCTGTCCTTTTCAAGATCTTAAACACTGAATATTTAATTTCAAGTAATTGTCTGACCTTTTCTAAATCCATGAGTTTATAAATATGTGGTTTATGTATAAGGAATCGTGAATAATTTCCTCGCTAAACAGAAGTATTTAATTAAGTTGCACTGTTTTGAGCAATACCAGTGTATTTATACATTTTAGAAAGATAGAGACAAAGGCGCTTAGTTTGTCTTAAAGATCGTTAAATCATGCAAATATTTTGGCAGTTTATTGGGTTAAAAGATAACAAACTGGTAAGAATTTTGAATGCAATGGGCAGCCTGAATCACTCCCTTACTTAGTGCAACTGACATCTGTTTTCTTATTTATCAAATGATTTGCAACATTGTTTTAGAATCTGTCCATATAATAATTTGGAGACATTTAGCCATACAACTGCATCCATCTAGCTCAACTTGCCTTGACCTTGTGCTAAAAAAATCCAGTTGACATAGAGCAGGCAATCCTATAAAACATGGTCCAAACTTCATATCTAAGGCTCACTTTTCTGTTTCCAACAGGGTCCAAATTTAGATTTGGTATTGTATGTGCTTTACACCAACCCAACACTATCTCAGGTTACTACAGAGGAGGAATTCACAAAAAATGGTCTGAAATTAAGGTAGGATTGTTTCACTTTGAAGCAAACATCACACATTTCTTCAATAATCTTGAGACATTCCACAAATATCTCTGTTTTTAGGATTTACAGAACAGAACAGATCAGATCAGGATAAAAGATATTCGTTTATCACTCTATTCTCACCTTGGTGAATGCATAAGAATTATGGGAAGATATTATTAATATTACTCCTACCTTTTGTTGCCTGGGAGCCAGCAGCTCGGTTATTAATTACTACTTATACTAGGCTATGGATTATTAAGACTTTCTTCATCTATTACATAGAAAATCTACTAATTTAATAGAATTACTCTATACAGTACCTGAAGCTGTTTGGCACTAATTTTTAGGTCAGAATCATTAAATTCATAAGACACATTCCAGCCAAGTGATCCATATGTTCTTCTCTCTTGAACAAGTGCATGGAAAAAGCATAATCCAAATAACAGCTTCTTCCAAACCTACAGTGGGAAAAAGAAAAGATAATTCACATACTAACATAAGAATTTTACAATATAAGTATATGTATTTGGAGCTCTTGTGTGTATGTGAGAGACTTAGGGGTCTATTCACGAAGCATCCTTTCGCTAGCTTCGGCCCCGAGACCCCTTCGGTTCAGTAGAACCGAAGAGCTGCTGTAGGGCTATTCACTATAGCCCGTACAACTCCCGAAGTTGGCCGGGCAGCTGATTCGAGCCGAAGGCATATGCCTCGGCTCGACTGAGCCGAGGTGAAAGGCGAAGCTGGCCAAGAGGCCAGGTAATTGGCCGGCCGACAGCCTGCTTCTGACAGCTTGGCGGAGCCAGCCCTGATCTTATGGCTGGCTCCGGCCACTTGCAGAGAGATCAGCGTCCCTGGTTACCAGCTAACCAGGGACACTGATCTCCAGACAGCACAACTCTCCTGGGCGCTCCGGGAGTCTCCCGATCCCGGCCGCCCAGGAGAGAAACACTTTCTTCAAGAGTAAACCTTTACCTGCTTTTTTTATATTCTGACATGGAGCCGTTGGCTGCCGTCAGAATAAAAAAAATAAAAAAATTCACCATATTAATGCATTGCTAGATTCCTATTGGCTATTTCAATTTGCAATAGCCAATAGCAAACTAGCTATTGCACCCGCCCACTGCTGCTGCCAATCAGCAGAGGGGACCTGCAGTTCTCCATCAGGTCCCCTCTAGTGATTGACAGCAGCAGAGGGCGGGTGCAATAGCTAGTTTGCTATTGGTTATTGCAAATTGAAATAGCCAATAAGAATCTAGCAATGCATTCCTATGGCGAAAATGTATTTGTATTTTTTTGACGGTAGCAGAACCGCCCACCAATAGAAAACAGTTGGGTGGAGCTAGCTGTCACTGCTAGCTCTGCACAATCGTTTAAAAAAAAAAAACTTTTTTAACTATTTATTTTTTAACTAGCTTTGCAGATAACCTCCACAAATAGAGTAATTAGGAAATGTGAAACAGACTACATTTTGCCTTTAACTCTAGCTTCATTTAAATTAAGGAGCAGAGATTATAATTCAGGTAGGCCCAGGACACCATGTTGTCTAAACACTGCCCTTATGAGGTCTGTGCACACTACCTCTGGCCACTAAGGCACCAACATCATCATTGTTAGAATACAGAGGGAATGTCATATGTCCTCCGTACCTGAAATACTGGGTATTTCTCTGGGACCCAGCAATGAATGTGAAGGTGAGTAAATGCTCCTACGTGTCTCTTCAGTAAAGTGAACCTGTTTTAAACACCATATTTTAACACTGTGCTAAAGTAGACTAAAATATGCAGCAAGTTCTCTGCTATGTTAATACCAGCCTACATGTCATTCTACTCCTATACGCCTGCAAACTGGCAAAGGGTCCGCATACTCATTCACAAATGTGATAGGTAAAACGTTATGAAGCAAAAACTTTAAGTGGATGTAAACCATAATGGAATTACATTTAGTTTGCCAAAGTCATTAGCAATTGTTTTTTTAAAATCAAATAAAATGTTTTCATTGTTTTACCCTCCTTTGCTGCATCTCACTTTTGCTGATCTCATGCAGTCTCTTTGCACCCACTTTCTGCCTAAAAAAAGCTGACAAAGTAAAGGTGCCCATACACTGCTCGATTCTCATACGAGAATCGCGGGAAATCCCGCGATCGTACGAGAATCGAGCAGTGTGAACGAAGACGTGCGACCGTTTCTACTGTACGGTCGCACGTCTTTTGTCTAGGGAGCACGCTAGAAAACCAGCTGAAAATCGTACGATTTTCGGCTGGTTTGAACGGTGCTCGGGAGACAAATGCCGAACGGGCCGGTGTGCGCACGCGCACACTGCCCGTTCAGCATTGCGGTCATCGGAAGCCGCCCCTCAGGGGGGCGGGCTTGCGATGATCGAGAGTACGATCTGCCTGTCCTGATGGGCAGATCGTACGTTTTTAAAATTACTTTACAACCATCGCAAGACTAAGGTCTTGCGATGGTTGTAAAGTGTATGGCCACCTTAAGTGGTACTAACAAGGAAGAGTTGTAAGAACTAATTCAGTTAATTGGCAACAGGTCATTATTGATTAGGTATAAAAAAAAATTGCAGTCAGGGGGGGTGATTTACTAACCTAAACACCCGCACGCACCAGGTGTGTGTGATTTTCACACAACAAAAACGTATTTATCAACCAAAAAGTCTCTAAAAGCATATTTCCACTAATGCCATATATGGAAAAATCATGCACATGATGCATATATAATGCTGCTTCACAGTTTAGACAAAAATGGTTAGCTCATGCATTTACATTCCTGCATTCATCAACGCAAGCAACACAATGTAGAGCTAATTTACACAACATCACCTTGTAATTCATGCAAGGCTTTGCACAACACACCTGCTGGGTGTGTACACACTACAAAGGTGTTTAGATTCCACCCATAGATCATGCTGGGAGGGAACACACTACAGAGGTGTATACATGTTCGTGGTGTGTTTATAAGGTTAGTAAATCATCCCCAGGGTGTCTCAGAAGTAAAGATGGGAAGAGGTTCACAAGGCTGTGAAAAGCTGCTCCAAAAATTGTCGAACAATTTTAGAATAATGTTCCTCAAAGTAAAATTTCAAAGACTTTAAATATATCATCATCTACAGTACATAATATCATTAAAAGATGAGAGAATCTGGAGAAATCTCTGTGCACAAGGGACAAGGCCAAACCGCAATAGTGGATGTCCGTGATCTTGGGGCCCTCAGATGGCACAGTATTTAGGATATGTATATAGGTGTTTGAAGTGATGAGGATCAAATGCAAAGGGGGTTAATAACTGTATCAGCAGAGAATGTTTTTAAGCTTGTGTACCCAAACGTGGCACCTGAAGTTTACAAATCATGCAGTGGGTTTAGTTCTCCAGCTTTTCCTAAAAAAGAAAAATATCAGCTTTGATTGGTCATTTAAAGTGCATTAGTGCATTTATTAATACTGACAGTATCTATGAGGGTTATTCACAAAGCTAGCCGAAGGATCAGCCGTAGCTCCGGCTGATCCTTCAGTTAGCTTCGGCCGTCAGAGTTCTTCGGTTCAGTAGAACTGAAGGGCTGCTGTACGTGCTATTCACTATAGCCTGTACAGCTCCCAAAACCGGCCGAGCCAAAGGTATATGCATGACTGAGCCGAAGTGAAACCCGAAGCAGGACGGGTGACCGGCCATTGGCCAGCCGAAAGCCTTGCAACTGACAGCTGGGCGGAGCCAGCCATGATCTTATGGCTAGCTCCGCCCAGTTGCAATAACAGATCAGTGTCCCCTGGTTACCTGGAGATGTGAACTGTCATTAAACAATGACAACATGGCGGAGCCGGCGATGGGGTCACGGCCGGCTCCGCTCAGTTGTTATTCATTGGCCAGGACCTGCTAGAAGACTCTAGCAGGTCCCGGCCAATAGGAAACAGTTGGGCAGAGCTAGCTAGTCACTGTCACTGCAAGCTCCCCCCAATTGTTTCTTTTTTTTGCTTTTTATTTTTTCAATAATCTTACATTTTAAAAAAAAATCTTTGTTTATTTTTTTAAATGTATCATTTATTTACATTTGTTAACCTTCTTTTTCTACTTTTTACCACTGTTTTTCTATTCTGCTCGGTACCATGTAGGTACCGAGCTATGAGAATATGCCGAATGACAGCGAGCAGCCTGCCGGAGGTTCGGCTCAGCCGATCCAAATGTTGGATCGGCTGAGTCGAACTCCTTCTGCACTTCTGCTCAGCCGAACTTGCAGCCGATATACGGTTGATTTCAACCGATGTACAGCTGAAATCAGCCATTCAAGCCTGAAGTGAATACTGTTTGGCTCACTTCGGGTCGGTTATTCACTCGGCTGCCTTCAGCAGCTTTGGGAATAACCATCTATGTGTTTGAACTCTATGCACTAGACTAAAAATTAGTTTAGACAACTAAAAAGTTGTCTAAACACTGCCCTTATGAGGTCTGTGCACACTACCTCTGGCCACTAAGGCACCAACATCATCATTGTTAGAATACAGAGGGAATGTCATATGTCCTCCGTACCTGAAATACTGGGTATTTCTCTGGGACCCAGCAATGAATGTGAAGGTGAGTAAATGCTCCTACGTGTCTCTTCAGTAAAGTGAACCTGTTTTAAACACCATATTTTAACACTGTGCTAAAGTAGACTAAAATATGCCGCAAGTTCTCTTGCCTGGAGGTTCGGCTCAGCCGATCCAAATGTTGGATCGGCTGAGTCGAACTCCTTCTGCACTTCTGCTCAGCCGAACTTGCAGCCGATATACGGTTGATTTCAACCGATGTACAGCTGAAATCAGCCATTCAAGCCTGAAGTGAATACTGTTTGGCTCACTTCGGGTCGGTTATTCACTCGGCTGCCTTCAGCAGCTTTGGGAATAACCATCTATGTGTTTGAACTCTATGCACTAGACTAAAAATTAGATCATGGTTGTAGGCTCAGGTAATTCACTGGTCATTATTATATCCCACATTTTCTTTAGTCTGTTGACCTAAACGTCTGGTGTAATATAGGTGAACAGTTTTGCTGTTATTCCTATTCAGTCTGGAAAACTTGAACCCAGCTGATGAGCTTTCAAGCCAAGGTTTTGAAAACATATGTCATCCTTAGACATAAGATTGACAGCTTATCTAGAGGCTTTAAGCCATAATTATGGACAGAATAGAGTTTTTATGAACAGTGACCCCAGAAGTTAGGTGACAGAGGTTCACAGTGCTGTAACCATGTAGCAAAGATCTACAACACACTGCACATCTAAAAGATCTCATGTATCCAGTTTTTACACAGTTAATGTAACAGACATGAACTAGTTGGTCTACAGATTAAGGAACAAGTAATAAATCATGCTTCTATACAAAGAGAGTCTTTAGTCATTTTCCAGCATGATGAGATAACCCCAAAACAAATTAAAGGCCACTGCTTTTCTCAAAGAAAAAGGAAAGCGCTTATCACT